ATTTGAGGTATTATTCCGGACTGAACGAAGTCATTGTTGGCCTACATTTCTTCAGTTTATATAAAGATTAATGTAGACTCAGAATAAATACTCGCGGCCTATTTTCGTGTCGTTTCAGTTAATTTGATATGTTAGCAGTTCTGTCAAACAGAAATATAAATTTATACTCAAACTTTTTTGGTGTTACCATATTCGAATTCACAATCTTTTTATAGTAGACCACTAAGCCACGACAATGTTAAAGCCCATCTCCCACGCCTGTAATTTAGGTGTAGAATATGCTTGTGAGCGGCGGTAATCATTTACCATCAGGTAAGCCGTATGCTCGTTCGGCTCTTATGCTAAAATATAAGAACACAGTCCCCTACTTTATTCCTATTTAATCTGCTTTAATCCTATAGTGTATTTAAAATTTTAAGTCTCGGTAGTTTGTATTCATACATATCAACTAAAAATGTAAACTCACAACAATTATTTAAGAGAGCAACACGCAAGTTTCTTGCTTTATCTTCTTATTATGATACAGCTTCCCGAAAAATAACTATGTTTAATGAAAATTGTTTAAATTATAGTTTTTTGAATAAAGGATTTTCTATTTTATTCTTATTATTTTAGCATATGGCCTATGTCCAGCAGTGGACGTCTTTCGGGCTGCGATGATGATGATGATGATTTTAGCATATAAACCAAACGTGCATGCAATAAATAGGATAAAATAATATTGATAGATCTGTAAAAGTACAGAATAAATTGCAAATGAATACAGATGTATCTTCTATACAGTTCACCTATTTTCCTATGACTTTTCCGGTCTGAAGGGTGAGCTATGGCCTTGAAATTACTTGTTACGGAGGCATAACACCTTTAAAAGTGTATTATTATTATTATTACATTTATATACCTATTCAAGGATTATTTCTTACATAAAAATATTAATTTTAAGTATTTATTTATTCTTTATTATTAATTTCTTTTCATAGTTTAATCATTATGATTAATATGAATGATATTTATATATTTAACATTATCATTCATTTAAATATGCATGCTCGAAATGTAGTTGAAAATGGAATTATGCATTTATTCCGAAGAACAATGTAACCTATTCAAAGCAAATAAATAAATATAATAATAAATATTAATTTAAGAAAATTGTAATATTTAACTAGCGACCTGCCCTTCCTTTGCACTGGTGTATGTATATAGTGTGTATCACAGCTTCGATCGTCTAGCGGTTTAGCGTACTGTCTTACTTTCGATGGTTGCGGGTACGATTCCTCGCACGCTACAAACATTTGTATAAAATATATGTATTTACAAAAAATAAATGTATTTATATCAGTTGTCTAGTACCGATAACACAAGCTCGGCTTTGCTTGGACCTAGATGACGTTGTGGGAATTATTCTGAGATATTATTGGTACATAAATCTTCCGTAATAAATTCTCTAAAAGAATTTAAAATCCGTCATACAGTTTAATTTGAGTAAAACTTAAAAATGGGATTTAGTCTGATAATATCAAAATATTAAATAACAAAAACAACAATTCTCCAAAATTTAAAACTGACAGATTAATTACAAATAATAAAGCTTTTTTTTAAGAAACATGATCTTGTTTTGTGTGAGTTCACTGAAAATTTGATAGTTCAATCATCGTCCCAGACTTCGAATACCACCCACATCCCAAAGTTCTCGAAGGAAAGAAAATACGGATCGGCGTTTTTTTCTTTAGCGTCAAAGATTTCAGTACGCGTAAAAATATATGTAATGACGTGTGGGAATGAATTCCCTGTCGATGACGACCTTTTCTTCGAGGTGACTACGGAACTCAACTGTGATAGAGATGTCGATACCGAGAATCCCAATACTCTTAGAGATGGTAATGGACGTATTCTGGAATTGCGGAGCCACAGCAAAAGGGGTTTTCTTAGCGGTGAACGCGCAGGCTCGTGTCTTGGTATATGATAATCCCATCGTACCTATACTAAACAACAAAAATGAATGACGTTACAACGCAATATTGTCACAGAATCGGATGAGTTCGGATTTCTTTTGAAAGTTACAGACGCAAACTATCAATTTTTTTTCGGACTACTCTTATGCGGCCACCATCCGCAGCTGGTCTTTACAGCTTCACCGGAAGATAGGAGGCGAATGCAGATGGACTCGTCCCGTGGAAGGACTTATGGAGCAGCTGAAGTAAACTCCCGCCTGACTGATACCCAAGCTGTCCATAAATTAATGCATACGTTAATAGAGGGACATTCGATATTGTATTACAGGATTAAGACGTCATGTCTCTGATTCTGTAATTTTACAGGCCAATCTCACCCTACAAACGAAACACAATGCTGCTCATTTTGCTAAAAGGAAACTGTTTGCCCAAAGGAAGGAAACTACCGTGGAAGACTACCATCAGTGTCGTTACTAACATACAAAATTAATATTTTTTATATTCTATATATGCTGCTGTATGGGCAAATATTTTTTATAATATTAAGTTGGCTGCAATAAACACTTATTATGTTGTACCAATTACACGCTTCTATACACAAATGCCTGTAATCTGTTTTATGTTTATTAAATATTATAGGAAGAGAATACACTACACTTACTGTTGGTGGCGAATGTGTCATATTAATAATTATTTGAAAGAACATTTATGTAATGACTAGCTCACCCCGCCAATGTCGTTTTGGCATATAAATTAAAATTGCTATTAAAAAATAGTGGTTAGTGTTTTTAATGTGACATTATAAAAAAAATGTCTAAAAATAAAAAATAAATTTTAGTTGTGGACAATCATTATCACTTAGACACATTATTTTATAAAATAGATAGTAGCTGATTCTCAGACCTACTAAATATGCATATGAAATTTCATAAAAATCGGGCAAACCGTTTCGGAAGAGTATGGTAACTAACATTATGACACGAGAATTTTATATATAAGATATAGTCATATTGTAATATACAACAGCAGTAATTTATCAGGTATTAGCTAGTAATTTTACAATTTTAGGGTAGAAAAAAATTGTAATGATCATATATTTATTTATTCGAAACAAAATTATTTACAAATGCCTTAATTATCCATAGCTTAACATGCGGTAAGAAAATTTGTGAAGAGGTTTTAAATTACTATAGTTTTGCTACGTATACAATATATATTATCACAACTCGATAACAGCCAATAGGCTTATTTTATTAATTACATTGTTTTATAAAACTATTTTGCATAAATATATATTTTTGTTATAATTTATAAAAAATAAATTTTTTATTCAGATCTTTTAATAAGACTCAGAAGTTGAATTAATTTGAGGAAACATTAAAAAGAATACAAAATAGATATAAAATGACAACATATATTAAAACGTAATAGACGAATATTTACTACTAAAAATTAAAAATATTTTATTTCTTAAGAACGTATTATTTATAAGTATAAAAATATATTGCATCTAATTTATGGCATAATATTTTATTAACTAAAAGTGTCCACTTTCGATTCTTATATAGACTCCGTTTTGTCCGAAATTTACAAAATTAAAGCATGCAAATTATTCTATGCATAATTTAGAAATACTAAAAGCAATATCCCACTTGTAAATACATTCTTCTTATTAGTTTTCTAAATTTCATTGAAGTAATCGAATGATATGTTATTTGAAAACATTGTAATGAAAATTACAGGAAGAAAATATTATTCTTGAAATAGATAAAAGTAAAAATGTTATGTAATTACAGAAATATAGTTTTTCTGTTATTTTTATTTTCAAATTGAGGTTTCACTCAAAAAGTGATACATTATCTAATCAACATCATCATTGCCTTCATCTCTTTTTTTTAAATTAAGAGTCAGCGCATGTCTAAACCTGTATTAGTATCATACAACTGATGAATGTAATGCATAATGTACTCGTAGTAGTAGAATGAAATATATGCTTAAATATTTCGTTATCTATGAGTCATTACATATAAAGACTTTTCTTTTAATTATACAAAATTTTACGTAAAAGATATGTTACATAAAGTAGGTTTAATCGAATGATTACTTCTGGTACTCTTCCAGATACAAAAAAAAGTAAAAAATATAAATATAAAAATATATTCTCTATGATTTACCTCAACACATTAGTTGGCACTTCAAGAAATTCACTCATATAAGATTTATTTATAATAATTAATTATTAAAAAACAATTTATCGAGGATTAAATTTTACGACATAAAACGGCTTAATTTTTTTATAATATTTTAACATGTAATGACAGTTATTTAAAGTTAATACAATTAAATTCAGTATTATATTTTATTTAAATATGTTGAATATGCCAATATTATTTATACTTTATTTATTAAATAATAAAAATACTTAATGAAAATATTTAAGTAGTAGGTATAGAAATAATAAATATTGGTAATTTAAATTCAAATGACTTTTACATTTAAAAGTTCAGAATAATTTGAATTGTTGTTTCAATCTTACTAATATTTTACTTATATTCTCAATTTATAAATTTACTTCTTCTAATAATTTTGTATAGAGAATTTTGTTTATTTTATATCATTTTACAAAGTTATTTTATATTACAAAATAAACAACTCAAAAAATACGATTGCCTTTTGTATTGGAAAGGTCCTACAGATCACTTGAATAAAATTATTTGTAAAGAAATGATCTTTTTTTTCTTAGTCATCACATACTTAAAGTGACTTCTAAGAAGATGACGTCATTTACCTTAAAAAATCAAGTGTATACAACTACCAATACCATTTAGTACTCGTCACCTACCCTGCAGGGGAGCTGGCATGAATATATAATACATAAATAAAAAAATATATTTGGCGAGATGTTTCTCTTGACTTTATGTAAATATTTAAAAGTAACGTTGAAAGAAGACTTTCATTTTATGTATTACTTGTGTGTCCACGTACTCTTAGAGATAGTGGATTATTAGTAATGGGGACTAGATGTAGCCCCATTACTAGCAATATACCGCTTAGGTCTACCACCGTACTTCCTGCCTGGATACCTCCTGGTGAATTTATCACCATGGGCTGATTGGCCTAATTGATTTCAGTTTCACACTTTCACTGGTTCCGTACAACGAAATACCATTATAAGAAGCGGGAAAACTTTCAATAAACAATTTACCTGACTTCATCATCTTTTAAATATTTCAATAGTGCTCCAGCACCAATTAGTTGAGATGGAATTATCATTTCATCATTCCATCATTATCATTAAAACAAAAAACGTTTACACTCGTATTTAAAAATATTACGTACATACTAATTACTAAATTATATTTACATTAAGTGATTGAACTGTATTGACTTTCGAATGTACTCAATGAAGAGAATCTAGAAAATTCCATTCAAGAGCATGCCTCGCATCTAACAAGGCCGACCTCGTCGCAATTCATGCACTTCAGAGCTACAAACTCAGCTGTGAAGTGGTTCCTGTGGAGGCTTTTTTTGGAGCCGTTGCAGATTCTGCAGGGGAGCAGCCTGAAGCCGCCGCAGACTTGACAGGTGTTGCAGGCGTCTGGACTCTGAAATTCATAAATTAAGTTTGTATAAACATTTTTTGAGATAAAATACAGCCTAGTTCCATTCTCTTAATATAATCTATGATAACACTAAATATTAAGATTAAGTAAGTTGTTCGTTGATTCAGTAAGTTCAGGCTTGTAGTCATGAAATGGTAACAAACAAATATTTGTTTATACAAACAGTCACTTATATATTTGTAATATTAAGTAAGTATGGATAGCTAGTAATTTCATTATTCATTTAAATATAACATACTAGCTGACACACAACTTCGTCTGCATTACACACATCATTATATTTCGCCATCACATTCAATTAACATAATATCTTTTAAAATTATACCCTATGTATTATTCTGATGTATAAGATATATTACTGTAAAGGTTAATCAAAATCCGTTCCGTTTTTGCATGAAAGGGCAACAAATATCCATCCATACACATAAACTTTCGCGTTTATAATATTAGTAAGACACGTCACACATAGCACAAGCACGGCTTAATCTAGATAACGTTCTGAGACTTATCTAGAATTATTTATTTGACCTCTAAGGGGTGAAATGTAGGGAACGAAGCCGCATCTAAAAATCGGTTAACAACCAAAGAAGACCAATATCACCAAAACCCTAAAATCAATTACGCTACACAACGCCCACGCCAAGGTAAACAAATTTCCCCGTGACAGACGGGCGAGCCCATAGTACCTATGTAATGTGACTGTTGCTATGTACCAATTCTTAAGAAGCCCGTAAACAATCAAGCCGCTTGAATCTAGCATGTACAATGTACATATTGATATTCAAAGTCTCATGCATATAATTGTATACCGCTTGATTGATGATTGAAGCCCATCACTAGCCCAATGCATGGCTGATACAAAATATCGACGTAGCGGTTAAAACATTTTTATCCTGCAACACTATAATAACAATACACATATACATACATATTTATATCAATATTTATGTATCAGCCTGCGTGGTTTCCACATAAGTATACTAATTACGCAAATACAACATATATTTAATTATATCAGTTGTTTAGTACTCATAAAATAGATTTGGTTTGTTTGTTGATATATAGCGCTACATGAAATGTGAAAAAAAAATACATGAAATGTGTTATTTAGGAGAAAATAAAAAATAAACTGTATTAATTAGTCTGTCTTTTTGTATGTAAGTATTATAGCCATGTTCCTATGTATTTACAATACAAATCAAGTACGAGAGACGAGTACGAGGGTAGTATTTTTAATAAAATAATGCGCTTAAACAGCCTGTATCAAGTAAAATGTTTGAGCGTTTACGAAGGTCGTTAGAAAACGAACGAGTTCAATAAGGCTAAGAGGGAGATTTGTTTTATAAACAGGACACGTTTTATTTTCGCCTGTTACTATGTTCATAAAATTGTATTCTCCGATATAAATCGATACCGCAGGATTGGAAGTTGACTATAATTTCAGCCGACATCAAAAAAGGAGAAGGTTCTCATAGGAACTGTATTTTTTATTACACAATTTTTTTCTACCTAGACCGTAGATTCATTTATGTTTATTTGTACGTCTTTTTTATGCACTTGATTGGAATGGCAAAGAAGTTGATAAGTAATCGTTGCCTATGTGTAGATACATATAGAACACTGCGGACACCACATGTGACTCATGTATTGCCATTTCTGAACTATTTTATTTCTGAATTATGACTAAGATGTCATGCCTCTTATCCAGTAATTTATACTACCTTACTCGTATATAACCAATATAATTTCACTACCTTATTCTTATACAACCGAAACACATCTTACAAAGCAAGCTACTTGGCGGAAGAAATATGTAGGTGCAACTCAGATATGTACGTAGACTATTGAGTACATAGTCAATTGAAAATTATATATGTTTCATTTAATATATCATAGACAATTTAAAGGAGAAGCAAAAGGTCTATCCTGTCTATTTATTATATAATAATAATAATCATCTCAAGACAATTCACATAGCGCCACATAGAACCAAGTTAAGCTAGCTAAATCTTGTGTTATAACTAGATAACAACAATTTTTTTTTCGTAAATACATAAATATTATACATAGAAAACACCCAGACCGATACAAATAATCATACTCATGAATATAAATGATTGTGCCGTGCGAACCCGCGACCATTGGAAATAAGGCGGTGTGCTAACCGCTAGACCACCGAGGTCATCGATATGCTGGAAAGCGAGTATCATCCAGCCTTTATAGCGACGACACTGTATCGATCGATCGTCCGTACACTCCGTATACATGCTGTATCGTTTCTAAATCTTCTAGCCTATAGATTGGCCCGACTTATCAGATGGTAAATTGTGTAGGGCACAATCGCTTTTAGATAAATACTTCTTTAGTTAGTGACCAACAGCATTAGAATAGTTCGAATAAAAGCATGTATTAAAGTAAATTAATAAAATGGTTGGTTATTTTTTATTATTTAAGCTACATTTATCCCGCAGTGCTGCTTATGTGGAATTTATTGTAACATGCTACTCGTTGCGAATATATATGTTTTTATGGCAAATGAATATTTAAAATCAGCTAAGTACCTACTTTTTGAGTTAGATTGTTTTTTGAGGTAGAACACATTATAAACAATTAAAAAAAACTAGTTTTCATAATATTATATAGAGGATTTTATATTTTATTACTTCTAGAATTTTATTTTTTGTCGTACTTCTTTTTATACAAGTTGGCAATAAAAAGACTGTTCGTATTTATCAGCAATGGTCACCATTTTCCTATCTTTGTCACTACAATTTTTATATTCCAATATTTTAATGAATACTGCTCATATATTATTATTATAAACTAGCTTTTTCCGCGACTTCGTCCGGGTGGAATTTAACTTTAATTTTCTAAAATAAAAGTAGCCTATGTTACTCCTTATTACGTCAGCTACCTGCCAAAAAAAATCCGTACAAAATCGGTTCAGCCATTTCAGAGATTAGCCGGAATAAACAGACCGACAGACAGACAGACAAAAATTGTAAAAAATGTTATTTTGGTTTATGTATCGTATTTATATTCATATACATATAGTAAAAAACGTTTATTTCAATATTACAAACAGACACTCCAATTTTATTTATATATATATATAGATGTATAGATAATAAAGATCCATCATATTTTACTTAATAAAAAGGAATGTGTCGACATCATTTACTTACACAAAAGCAGATACAGACGGAAAGGAAAAGTCGTAAAAATTAATATTAATATCTTTTTTTTTGTTATATCATACATGAACATCACTCAGAACCCCTAATATTCCGTATTTAAATAAAATGGGTAAACGCAAGTACTAATGAGGTTGGAATGGTTCTGTATAATTTTTTTTTAAAGAAGCTCTCAATTTGAATATGTGCTTTATATTCAATGATACTTTTTTAGTTAGCATCACTAGCTAGTAAAGTTTTACTAGTTGGGTTTGACTTACTTTTGTTATCGAAACTTTGTTATGAAAGTCAATTGTTCATCTCTTCCGTATTATTATTATTCTAATAATAACTAGCCACCCACCCCGGCTTCGCACGGGTAATACATGTATTATACATACAAATCTTCGTCTTGATCTCTGTATCTCTTCTATATCTATTAAAAAAACCGCTTCAAAATCCGTTGCGTAGTTAAGATTGAAGCATACATAGGGACGGATAGACAGCGACAGCGACAGCGACTTTGTTTTGTACTATGTAATGATAATGATAGGCCTGGACAATTCACACACTACCTCTGTTTAAACATCGTATTTTACAGTTAGTAAGTAAAATTTTTTTAATTATTAACCTTCTAATTTTCTTTTGTGATTTTCTTAGAAATGATAAAAATATTTGACATCAAAAGACAAAACAATTCACTTAGTCAAAATATTTTACTTTTGACTTTTTATGAATAATGCTTATTCAGCATTGTAGGTCATTGACCTTAGAAATACAATAAAATGTACGCTTTTGAGGAAATGTTCCGTTTGAAAATTATTTATAAGTAAATTAACTGGAAATATAAAGTTATGTACCTTATAAGGTTTCAACATTTTCCTTAATTCTCCACACTCGTTCAACTTCTCCACTGTATCAGCGTCCTGAAAATAAAATAATATTATATGAATACGACTATTTTTTTTTATTATTTTAAATGTTATAACATTACATCAAATTAGACAACAGTAAACACTTTTGTATTGTAACATCAAGTGCCTATCTATTACATATTACATAATATTATTGTTTTCAAATTAATTAAGGCTGAGACCATTACTTAGTTTAAATGACTTATAAAAGATAACTATGGTAATAATTTATTGCCTAATCCATTCTTATGTCTAAATAAATAAAAAAGAAATCATATTATATGGCGGCATATATAAATCAATACATAAACACGAATGTGTATGTTATGTATATATCGAATATAAAATTGAAGATAATTATAATTAACAATAATTAATTTTAATTATTTATTATATATTATTTCACTAAACAAGAGACATATATTATAAAAAAGAAGTGATATAATATAATATCCTTGGACAATTCTAGCAGGCACCATCTAGCAGCCGTAAGGTAAGCGAAGCTTCAGTTATGAGTAGTACTAGTCATAGAGAATACATAGATATTTTTATTGTACTATATGTACATACCTAATATATATACAATACATATGATTGTTTATTTAGGTCTGGGACTTATACAAACAATCATACTCTTGAATGTTTATAAAATGCAAGGAATCGAATACACGACCACCGGATGTAGAGCGGTGTGCTAAATCGTTAGTCATATTTAACACATATAACAAATAGTATTTATTATGATTTTATTATAACTACATTCAATATTCATTATAATTTCCTATCTACGACACTGTTGAAGAATGATCTTTCTGATATACAGACATAAATGTTCTTTATCCATTAATAAAATTAATAATGGAAATTTTACTTCAAATGCTGTTTTAAAGGCAGTAGAACCGTGACCAGGGCGTTTGAAACACCGTAAAATAATCGAGAGTTCTTAAATAACAGAAGACAATAGTCTTGCCAAATTTTACATTATTTACAATAGTTGTAATAAATGCAAACAAAAGTACAAAGTCGTTTAATGAAGCGATTGTAACAAATAGACTGATGAAAGAAAACAATCGAAAGGAAATGATACACGATAAGAATTTAATAGAAAATATCGTGTGAACATACTGGGGGTATTATTGTTGGCTGTTTTCACCATTCGTTTGATTCCATCGTATTTGCATTACTGGGAAATGGACTGTGTAAGCAATACAATATTTCTCTTCATACGACGAAAAGAAATTTACTGGAATTCTCAGTGCCAAGTTTGTGATATAGTTTTGGTGGTCGTACAATAGCAAATAAATAATAGTTGCTTTATCAAATAAAATATAATATAATAAATATAAATATTGAAGATTTAGTTAAAATTAAAGCTATGGATGTCCTAGCATAGGCATTTTTATATTTAATTGATGATTAACATGATTATACAAACGAAAATAAATTTCATGCACGTTTCAGTCAATTATTATTACCGTTTCATGAATTTTTAACGATTTTTTTCATGTAATTAGATTAGCAAACAAGCGGAAGTTTCACCTTATGGTAAATGATAACCATTTACCATAAGGTGAACTAAAATATAATAAACTTCAATAAACTTCTGCTATGAAGTCACCTACATAAGTGACGATGTAGAGCACATTATGTTAACAGTTATTCTAGACTTCAAACTTAAAGTATTGCAAAAAAAACATGTCGCTAAATCAGCTGGCTAATACTACAGTCACCTCACCTGGGTACAGTCATCTCATCTGTTTAATTATTCAAGTTTTCGTTACACTTTACGTGTATAAAATATTTATAAGAAAATTGAGTGCATAAGTGATCTTATATTCATATGGAATTGGATTGTTTGCAAGAAATTCATCTAAGAAAATATACATTATTAATACTAATTCATTATTATAATATAGGTATCTGTGGTATTTTAAAATGTAATTGAAAGTTTGATTGCTAAAAGACGATAATTATATACCAAGTCAAGGCTTTGGATTGCGATAGAAGAAATAGTCACTGAGAGCACAGATAATATAATAATCTAGAGCTCAGATAAAAGATATTTATCGCATTTAAAGTAGTTAGGATAGTTTGCAGAAAGTTAGTATTAATAATTGTATATATAGTGCTTTAAATACCATGATTTTTTTTATGAAATCTATGAAATAATTATAATTTAACACATTGATATTAATAACCTATATATATATATATATAAGATTAAAACAGAAACCAAAGCAACAGTTTTTAGAATTTATACCTGTCTATTTATACCTATTTATATTTATTACGTCCATGGACATCACTATATCAAGTAACACTCATGATGACGGTAAGAGGATAGTTACTAATGTGGAACATATTGCTAGCAATGTATCATACCAGATTGCCCTCCAAGCGGTTCCGGCTGGAAGCCATCGTGATAAATTCCTGATGTAATTAACTAACCTGACCGTTTCTTCATCTTATCATCCTCCACTGGTGCCCCTCCAGCGTAAACCATCAGCACATGCGGTAGTAACATTCCATTATCATCCATTAAAAAGAAACACGCATACGTATTCATTCGGTAGGAGTGTAATGTTACGATATCCTGTAATTTCACTGCCTTTAATCGAATAATATCGAGTAGGTTTTATATTACCTATTCTATATTATTCGATTAAATATAATCGATCTCAATTGAAACCTATCAGTTTCATTACTTAACTGATATATTACATAGTAAAGCCCTATCTCTGTTATGATTTTACGCAACATTAGCTGTTGGTTTATAGCTTACAGCACAATACAATCTAATTAATATAAGTACATTGGCACTCACACTCAAGTCACACAACGTTGCGGGTTTACATTTAATTAATTTCTATAATTAACGTTGAATCTTGTCACATGTCATCAATGATAATTTCATTAATTGTCAATTTAACAATGACAGTCCCCATTGGGAACTACATTCCGATTATTCTATAATTAGGTTTACGATTATTAGAATACGGGTGATCTGCTCTGATTAGTATGATCAAATAAACCATATGTAAATATAATAACCTATAGAATGTATATATCTATATCTACTAAAAATCTAAATATATATATAACTCAAAGGTGACTGACATAGTGATCTATCAACGCACAGCCCAAAACACTTTAAACCGATCGGGCTGAGACTTTTGCATAAATAAAATCCATCCCCTAAGAAAGGGATAAGGGGATAAATTAACACGAGCGAAGCCGCGTGCAAAAGCTAGTATCTAATATAGTGACTTATGTATACGTGATATTTAGCAGTTTGTATTCGTACAAATACAACACTGTTTAAAAGATCAGCAGGCACATTTCTTGCCTAATCGTCTTGAATAACATTGCATTATGAATGTGCGGTATTATCTCATCAGGCATAGTTTACTACGAAACATTGACCATTACCGGATTGGAAATTGAAGGACAATCTAGTAATGATTGTTGGTTGAGGAGTATACTTAGTCTTGGGAGAGGTTTATGTGAACTGCAGTGGGATGATGATCATGACATCACGAACTCCGTGCTTCATAATTAGTCACCCATCCTTTTTCTTCCCTCGGTATAACGAACTGAATTGTATAATAGTATTCGATTGAGGCAATATACATTTAATTAACTAAATAACCTGTAATTCCCAAGTAAATTTAAACTCAATTTATAACTCACTTTATTACTTTATCGTCTGTTGAAGACATTAATTAGCACGTCTAAATTATCTAACAGAAATATCCCATACAACAACTATAGGTATCCGGAGAAGGACATAACATAATATACTATGTCGGATGTGGCAGCCTCCAAGTGTCGCCAGTTCTAATCAATAAAGCATTATCCATCTGTGTACTAGATATGTTACTATTCACACCCAGAGAGAACTGCCCAGACCTCTCCTTTGAAACGATATATATATATATACATATATGCATATCTATAGCTTTAGATATTTGTATTATTATAACAAAATCTTGACACGCGTCAACTGTTTCTATATCTACATGTGTGTAAAGGTTTCATGCAAAACCGCCTGGAGATATTAGAATAAAATCTTCACAGAATATGTTGGATATGAAATGGGTAAATTAGTATTATTTTCTCATTAATTTTAAGTATACCATTAACTAATTAGTAATAAAATAAAGTAATAGATGCGAGCTGTATAAATGCTTTATTTATATCATAATAATGGCATCCAGTAGAGATAAATATCGAGGTGTCGTACGTACATAATAGCCACGATCTTTCGATCAAAAAGAAGAAGAAAAAGAAGAATTTGAACTCAATGTAGCAGCAGGTTATGAGTCTACTGCAATATCAAGAATTAATTTTATTTATCTTTGTTTTGATCACTTTCTGTCGGTGTAGCAAATCATTTTACCATGACGTTCTCGTCACGCGAATGACTCTTTTAACACTGCCAATTTATTGCAAAGAAATATTATGAAGTCTACACATTATATTCAAGTCATTGGTTTGAAGTAAATACGATAAGCTTTTCGCTTGTTGATGTTTCGATACGAAGAAACCTTCAAACAGAACGGATTATAAGAGATTTTTGGATTGAATAACATGATGCGTATGTTGCTCTCAGTTTTGTATGTAGGTATACGTGTAAGTGAAGACGTAACATAAAGTAAAAAGAAAATGCAAATACGGTTTAACAAAGGAGATTTCAAACATAATCGTTGTTATCGGGAGATACCTAATACAAAATTCCGTGAACTGAGTCGAAGATTGGAACACGCATTTGAATATGCTATTCAGAATACATTTATTACATGAATTTAGATGTATACTATTAATATGTGATATTACTATTAGCTACTATCCTATCCCGGTTTCACATTTATGTATAGTTCATATGATAGAAATCAAATAACTATATATATATACAAACAATTCAGAAGAAATTGTCTAAATGTCTATTAAAATGACTTGTGTGGTTTGAAACAACTAAACTACGTATATAAAAATATTTGTACATGCTTGTA